TATACTTAAAAAAAAATCAAATTAATTTTTATATTTTAATTATTATTATTACTAAAAATTTAAATTTTACCTGTAATGATTATAGTGATATTTGTTACTTTCTTTATTGAGAGTATAATTACTATGAATTATAGATCTCTATTTTTTTTTATCCTCATAATTAGATCCCTTATCTTGGATATTTTGGTTAGGATCCTCTACATCTTGAATGGGTTTTTCATTTAAAAATTCTTCATCATTATCAGAATATGATTCATTTTCCATTTTATTAAAATTTTTTTATTAAATAAAGTTATAAAAAAAATTAAAAGATAAATTAAAGTGCTAGATAATTTTCTATGATATTTATAATATTATGATAAAACTAATAAAAGTAACAAAGCAAGTAGCAAAAGCTAATAAAGCCAATTAATTAATTAAGTTATAAGCTAAATGGCTAAATATGACAAAGTTAAATAGTAAAAAACCAAGTGGAAGCAAATATAAATGATATTTTTAATAAATACAAGCTAATTAGCAAAGTCATTAAAGCCAATTAGCAAATTATATGGCAAAATTTGATAGGGCCAAGTAGCAAAAAGCTAAGTGACTAAGCAAACAAAATTATCTTGCAAAATTAATTACAAAGCCAAGTAGCTAAGATATCAAAGTTAAATAGCAAATTTATATGGCAAAATTTGATAGGACCAAGTAATAAAAAGTTAAGTGGTGAAGCTAGCAAAACTAGGTTGCAAAATTGACTTACAAAGCCAAGTGGCAGAGTTATCAAAGTCAAGTAACAAAATTATATGGCAAAATTTGATAAGTCCAAGTAAATAGCAAAGCTAACTAAGATTAATTATAAAGTCAAAGAGAAAATAGTTAGTACGAATATTCTACTTAAAGAAAATAGTCAAACATTTATTTGACAATTTCACATTTCGCAGCTTTTCGCAGTAATATTTTTATTGTTAATAAATGATTTTAATCATTAATTTGGAATGATTAAATTTATCATTCTAAACAAATGATAAGAATATCGTTCAATTGAAACGATTAAATTATCATTTCAAATAAATGATAAGAATATCATTCAATTAGAATGATTAAATTATCATTCCAAAAGAACGATAAAAAATCGTTCAATTAGAATGATTAAATTATCATTCTAAATGAACGATAAAGAATCATTTATTTAGAATGATTGAATTATCATTCTAAATAAACAATAAAAGAATCGTTCATTTAGAACAATTGAATTATTATTCTAAATAAATGATAAAAGAATTATCATTTGGAATGATTGAAGTTATCATGATAAAAAAATCATTCAATTAGAATGACGAAATTATCGTTCTAAATGAATGATAAAAGAATCATTCATTTAGAATAATTGAATTATCATTCCAAATAAATGATAAAAGAATTGTTCATTTGGAACGATTAAATTATCATTCTAAACAAATTATAAGAATATCGTTCAATTGAAATGATTAAATTATCATTTCAAATAAATGATAAGAATATCGTTCAATTAGAATGATTAAATTATCATTCCAAAAAAACGATAAAAAATCGTTCAATTAGAATGATTAAATTATCATTCTAAATGAACAATAAAGAATCATTTATTTAGAATGATTGAATTATCATTCTAAATAAACAATAAAAGAATCATTCATTTAGAACAATTGAATTATCATTCTAAACAAATGATAAAAAAATTATCATTTGTAATGATTAAAGTTATCATTCCAAATGAATGATAAAAAAATCATTCAATTAGAATGACGAAATTATTATTCTAAATGAATGATAAAAGAATCATTTATTTAGAATGATTGAATTATCATTCCAAATGAACAATAAGAAAATCATTCGATTAAAATGATAAAAAAATTGTTTATTTGGAATGATTGAAGTTATCATTCCAAAAGAATTATTCATTTGAAATGATAAAAGAATCATTTGATTAGAACAATCCGAAATTTCAGATTAATCCAAAATTTTCAGATTGAATTTTTTGCAATCTGAAACTGAATCAAAGTTTATCTGAACTGAAAATTTTCAGATTAATCCAAACTGTTCAAAGCTTTACTTCTGTTGCTATATTATTCCCTCCATTATATGGATTTATTGCTGGTACAGGATAAAATCTACCAGTCATTTTTCCTATCATTTTATTAGCTCTAGCTTGATCATTAAATCCTACTACTGTTAAAGAATGCACAAACTCATTTATGATTCTAAGTTTTGTATAGTAACTATCTGATTCTTCTTGCTCATCATAAAATGGAAGCTGAGTAAGTTGGAGGACTAAAAGTTGGTTAACATCTGCTATATTTGCCATGTTTACTAATGGATTGTTTTGTAAATTCAACATAATTTGCCGTGAATTTATTTCTTTTTGCTTCTATTTTTATATCAATCATATACTCAATCCTGATTATATTCTAATAATCCTATATCTGCTTAAGCTTATTTATAATACTTTTTTAGGTTTTGTATCTGCTGTATACAAGCAGTATGTCTTCTTTTCCACTAACATTTTTCATAAACATTTTCACATATTATATCTTTAAGATTAATGATTTTTTCATCTCTTTATTGTTGGGCTTGTCTTTTATTTCTCTATGCCTGCTCTATTATCTGTACCCTTCAAAGATAATCATTTCTAAAATTTATCATATCATTCATAATCCTATTGATCTGTTCATGGAATATATTAAGCAAACCTTGTAAGTTAGCATTATTCTGAATATACTTTTGATTATGTCTTCGAATAGTTATTATTGAGATCCGTATTCTGTTCAGTATATTTCTTGGATCAAATGATGTGTTACCATTAATATATCCTTCAATCTGATCTAAAGCTATACTAATATTTCTTAAGATATCTGGTAGTGTCATATTTTTTTAATGTTCTTCTTCAGAAGGTTTATTACTATCATTTACTTTTTCTCGCTAGATTTAAAAAAAAGGCTATTGCAATCAGTTTCTTGTAATAAAAGACCAGCATGATAAGGAAAATTTTGAGTTAATTGTTTCTTCTAATGGTCTTGACTGAAGGAGTGTGATATCTTAAAAATTTGGCTTTTGAGCTTTTCTACTGTATCTTCTAACAGAATGATTTGATTATCTTAAGCGAATAATGCCTCTTCCTTTAGATTCAAATGATCCTGACATTTTTTAAGATTATATAAGGTAGAGCAATATTCTGCTTTTAATCTATCTAACTTATCCTCTCGTAAGATAAGATTTTTTTAAGATAATTGATATATAACTCACATCGCTCTAGATCATTTATGAGCTTGCGAATCTTTTCATTATTTTTTATGGTAATATTTTTCTTTTTAGTCAACTTTATTCGCAATTCTAAATTACTGTCTAATAAATTAAGATATGCCTGCTCAGCTCCCATTGATTCTTATTATTCCAAAAGATTCTGGCGAAGCTCAAAATATGGATGTATCTTCAGCTTTGTGCAAAATTTATTATCAGCCTTCGGGTTATCAAAGGACTGTAAAAAAATTACACAAAGCCTCTAAAAAGGTTAAGTATGATTTTAGTTTAAACGAAGTTAGGGATTTGCTTGATAGACAGGCTATGTATCAGATACATAAACCTCATCCTAGATTTATTTAGTATGCTTTCTTTAATAATATACAATTTTTAAATGAAGTACACCAATCTGATACTACTCCTATACTTCATGATAAAGTAGGTAATCAGATTTACAAGTATAGGGATGTTATTAAAGATGTTGCAATTAGGTATCAACATAGTTTTGCGTTGATTGATAAATTTTCTACACAAATGGCTAAGAATATTCAAAAAACTTATGATAATCTTAAAGAGCCTTTCTCTTGGCTGAATTGTTTTAATTCAGATAAGGGGATGGAATATATGAGGGATTGTAAGAGTTTATTGCTTAAACATGATGTAAAAATATAATATGCTATAGCTGAATGTGATTATAAAGAATTTGAAAAGCATTCTGGTATTCAGCAAGATGTTATGAATTTTCTGTTATCTTTATCAAATTGTTCTAGAGATTGGATTAGAAGTCTTCATATTAATAATTATATATTTAATAATACTCCTACTCAGTTAATAGATATGTTTCCTAATAAGGCAGTAGAAAGAGCACTTAATGGAAAGAAAATAATTGCTAAACCAGTTATAAAACATAGAAGACCTATTGGATATAACGAATCTTATTTATCCTATTATGATTTAGTGAGATATCTTCTTAAAATCAGAAAAGTTAGAATATGGTCCTACTAGAAAACATGCTACTGATATAAATTGGTCTCCTTAGATTTATCATATTTGCAAATCTTTAGTACAAAAAAATCAGCCAGTCTTATACTGGCTAATAGATAATGAGAATAATGGTCCAAAAAGATCTTTTGTAAAAGAGGAATTGATGGTTATTCCTGATACTGAGTTGCCTTCCCAATGGATCTAATCAAATTGATGATAAAAAGTTTTCTGCTTCATTATCAATATCTTCTTTCTTAATGAAATAATCTTTAGCTAATTTATAATATAACTTATATAAATCTATGATGGTATTAAGAATCTCTAAATCTCTTTCATACCAAGATTTGTAATCATCCATAATTTAATGATAGTTGCACTCATTAGTAAATATTGTTCAGTCTAATTCTACTATATATTGTTCAGAATCTTTTGACTGACGCAATTTCATGACTCTTTCTTTATAGCTTTGCATGAATTTTCCATTCTTAGGCTTTCTATAATATAGTCCTGCCTTTACTATATTTATTAATGCTTGCTCATCCTGCTAGAAGGTAGGCTTGACTTCAGGTAAAACTTTTTGGGTAGCTTGATTTTGATTGCTCATTATATATATATATTTATTACTATATATTACTTATAAAATTGTTTTATTTAAATAAATAATTCTGTGTAAGAAAAAAAAGATTTATATTATATATGGTGAATATACTTATCCATTTATCAACTATTTTGATGAAATTTGTGAAAGATCTTGTATGCGTGAAGAAGGGTATTTTATTTATTGGAAATATGTTCAAAAATTAGCTAATAAGCGACTTACTTCTTATAAGGAATGTGTTAGACTTAGAGTTCTAGAAATTCAAAATCATGAATTGGATAAATCATATCAATTTAAAATACCAGTTAAGCTTACTATATCATATTCTGGTCTGTGTCCTATTCATATAAAAGAGTTTTACGTTTTTCAGTACTATCAGAGGTTGTGGTTTAGGGCTCCAATGAATGAAAATTAGTTTAATAAAATTTTGGTACTCCCTTCAGAATTTTGATATCCCACTCGAAATTTTGGTATCCCAGAGGTTAGAATTATCAGAGATACAATTTTTTTTAATTCTGAGTTGTGTAAAGTAAATAGCTCCAGAATTGTTTTTTGTATATTAAGAAATTAAGGATATACTAGAATATAGTCTAGAAACTTTTAGAAATGAATGTGAATACACATAAATTTCTGGTACCCACATAAGATGAGTACCAAAATTTAATCATGCTAGATGATAATGAATCAGCTTTAGAATTAATTCTAGAATATTATAAATAATAGTATACATAGAAGGTTTGCAGAGACTCTACAAGCTTGGCTTTGAACCTTTGGTTCTTGCCAATCTTGCCTCATCTCAAATTCAAACAGAATGGTATATTTTTTTTTGATATATTATTTAGGATTAAAATTAGTCTAGAAAGGCTATAACAGATAGATTTATTCTTAGTATCTGATGGTGTAAATTAATGCCAATTTGATACAAATATTTGGATAGCAGGAATTGCTCAAATTTAGGCTAGAGATTTAAATTCTATAGTAGATTCTTATAGCTAGAAGACTTTGAAAATATGATTGGAACTTTTCTATGGGTTTTAACCCTAGAACTTCCATTTTAGCATCACTTAAGTATTAATTTTATTATTTCAATTTTTTTGTTATTCTGTAATAAACCCTTTTAATAGTTTATAGTTGAATTAATTTGCTATTTTTATTATTTTTCAAGATAATATTAATAATAGTTTTAGTTACTAAAAATATTATGCTAATCAATTTCTTTATAAAATTTTCTGATTGACTATTATATTATTATTTAGTTCTTACAAATTATATAAATTCTGCAATGTAAAATTTATTTAAAATGATAAAATTAGTGATTTTATTATTGTAAGTATTGGAGAACTTTTAAGATTAACATTTAATTTATTTAAAATAAAATTTTTGTATCATTTATTGGGTATTATACTAATGTGAAACTTTGCAAAACTTGAATAAAGCATAGTATACTAGAAATGTTAACAGATTATCCTTCTTTTAATAATAGTTTTTATATAAGTATAGATATGAATACTATCTACTAAAAGTGATAAAATTTTTTGCGTAAAATTTCACTAATATAATATTTTGCTAATACTTTAATAACACTTAACACATTAATATCATTTAAAAATAACTATAATATTACTTGTGTTTATTTACTTTTCTTCTATAAAATTATCATTAATGATATTATTTTTTAAGTCCTATAATAAAAATGTAAGTTAATGGTAAAAATAAATATTATAAAAACTATTAATTCAAGTATACAATTGAAACTTTTTAATAAAACTTATTTTGAAAATTAATAATATTAAATATCCTTTATAAGTAAATGCTTGAAAAATTTGAAATTTTTACTAAGATAAGATAAATGGTGTTAAAAATAATAAGAATTGTATCAATATTAGAAAAAAATGTTAAAGAAGTCTAACAGTAATTTATTATGCTTTAAGATCAATTAGTTTATAATATTGAGATTATTGTTTATATTTTTTATTAATTACTTTTTAATATTGTATAAAATACTAGCACAATTTAAAGTCTTTTATAATAGCATTAAATAATTTAATACTTTAAATACTTTGAATATCAGCATTAAACTAAAATAATATATAATACTTCACTCAATTAATTCTATTAGTATATAATGATTTTTATTATAGTTATAATATACTAGAAAGATTTTATTATAGATTTTCCTTTTTATTTACATAATTTTATACTTAATATATTTCTACATAAATAAATTTATAATTAATTAAAAGAAAATCTGTGACTAACTTAGATTTAAGATGTTTAATAATATCTTATCAAATGTAAAAAAGGTAATAAAAATGGTGTATTATTAGAAAAATATAAGAAACTGCATTAATTAAACCTAATTTTAAATCAGTTTAAAATATTTTGAGATGATATTATTAGTTATATTTGCTAAATACTATAAAATCTAAATGTATATTGTAGAAAGTTTATTATCTATTAATCTATTAGCCATATTTCAAAATCTTCTATAATTAATCTTATCATAAAACACTTAAATACATGTTTTATTTGTTAATTTTATATGTATTATCATTTAAACTATATTATAAAATCATTGATATAAATCTTGTTGAGAAAGTGACATTCAAAAAATATCTGATAATTGTTTTTTTATACTAATATATCAAATAAATATCTTTTAATGCAAATCATAATTTTTTTAAAAATTTTTTAAGTAGTAAACTGGAATTAAGATTTTCATTTTGACAGTTTTTTTTTTAAACAGTAAATTGCATTATAAACATCTTATATATAAATAACATGTTCTGGATACTTTTTAAGTATTTTTAATTAAACAATAGATGTTATCTTATAATTTGTAAAAAATTCTAAATTCTATATTATATTACTATTAAAATGCTTATATTTAGTAATAATAAGAGTTACTTAATTTGAATTTAATTTATTTTATATTCAACTTTTGATGTTATACATTTTATTTGATATACAGTTTTAGAAATGTAAAATTGCAATACTATTCTTATTATTTATTAGTATTATATTGATAATGCAAATTTTAATCAATACCTTTTTTTAGTTTTATAAGTACTACTTGATGAATACTAAAATAATTTATAATAAATGATTAAAGAATTATTTAAGTCTTTATTATTATAAAAAATCTGATATTCAAATCCTCTTTCTAGATAATATTGATGTATAAATATGTCAACTAATTGCCAATCATTAAAAATATCTTCTATATGAAAATTAATTAATAAATTAAACAACTTGTTTTCTTAAAATTATTTTCAGAAAAATTTAAATTATTATTATTTGAATTATTAAGTAAAATAAAATTTAGCTCTATAATTTCATTTAAATAGTTTTTAAAACCTTTTATTGTATTATGTAAAGTATTATTTAATTTTGTAATTTTATTATTATACTGTTTAAATTCATAACCTTCATCTTTAATAATTAAAGAGTAGCTATTGTTAAGGTATTTATCTTTTAAATATTCAACATATAATTTCTAATTTAAGCTTATCATTATAAAATTTTGTGAGAAAAAAATTTAAATTAATGAAAATCACTACTAAATAAAAAATTTATATTGCAGATAAAAAATTTTTAACATAAAAATAATAATAAAATTTTATTAAAATTAAGATAATAATCACTATAATAAATATAAAATGTAAAAAAATATAATAAGTAATATTTAAAAATAGTTAATAATATATAAATGAAGTAATAAAGTAATAAAATTAATAAAAATATTAAAAATTATAAAAATAAAGTTAGTAATATTAATAATATTTATATTATTAAAAAATAAAATTGATATAATTAATAATATAAAATAAATAAATAAATATAATTAATAGATGATTTAGTATAATATAAATAGATTATATGATTTGTTAATTCATAAAAATATGTAAATAAATCAAAAGATAAAGTAAAAGTTGCAATAAATAAGTAAAAAGAAGGATAATAAAGATTTATTTACATACTTTTTATGAAATTTAAAGTAAACTTTATACTTAATAAAAGTTTTTTATTATATAATTAAATACATATTTGAAAAGAATAAAATTTTACATAAAAAATAATAATTGCTAGAGCTCTGAACAGGTTGGTTTTGGTTAGGTTAAATAAAATCTGACTTGATTTAAATTTTTACTTGATCTGATCTTACCTGATTAATAAAATTATCATTTAAGAATGATAAATACATCTTTTTGAATGATAAAATATCATTCAAAAATAATAACGAATCATTTTAATTGAATAATAAATATTATTCAAGAATGATAAAAATATCATTTAAAGACAATAAACTATTATTCAAGAATAATAAAATAATATATAAAAATAATAACCAATCATTCTAATTAAATAATAAATATTATTCAAAAATGATAAATACATTGTTTAAGAATGATAAAATTATTATTCAAGAATGATGATTGGTTGACTTAAATTTTATTAGATTAGATTAACCTATTGATCTAATCTGATCTGAATTTTTAGGTCAAGTCAGGTTAGATCAGATAAATAGGTTGATTTGATTTAATTTAAAATTCTAATAATTGTAACTTTTGATTATTTTATAAATTATTAATTTAAATAATTTTAAAAATATAATAAAATTCAAAAAAAATTATAATAAAAAGTAATAACTTTTAAAAACTTTTATTTGATATTTTTTTTTATAAAGTATGATAATTTTATAATATATATTTATAGTCATCTTGATATAATAAAGTAAATATTTAAAATGATTGAATAATTAGAGAAAATTCATTAATATTATAATAAAATTGATTTATAATTAGTTAAATTTATAATATAATATAATAAAATTTTTTATCTAATAAGCTAAATACATTTTTAGTAATACAAATTTCACAAAATTTAGTTCATTTTGAAGCTTTTAATATCTTAAATTTGATAATATTAGTTTAGTGATATTTTAACTGATCAATCATACTTCATAAATAATTAATATTTTTATACTAAATTTTATATTTTAAGTCTTTATAGGTAACTTTATTTTTACATAATAATAAGCAATTTTTTAAGTGATTTTTTTTAAAGATATAGTAATGCTTTTATTTATTTAATGTAATCAATAATCAGTATAAAAATCTTCTAAGGAGATATAGAAGTAGAAAAATAAAAAAAGCTGTCTAATAAAATAAAAAGTTTAAAAACTCAAATTTTACTAGACTAACTAGTTAACCTGTTAGGCTCCAGTAATAATCACTAGTAGATTTACTATTGCTATTTAACTAAAAGAAAGAAAATATATGATAAATAATTATTATTGCATTAAGAAAAGTGATCAGCGACGGCCATGTATATAAGAATTTTTAATTAA